TCCCAAGCCACATGTGGAGCCCCACCTCCCTGATTGTGAATGGGAAGGAGACCCAGTACCCGCTGCCGGAGCCCTCGGTCCCCCTCAACTTCATAAACAGCACAGGCATGCGCTACGAGGCGGAGGAGGTGCGCCAGTGTTTGCTCACAGGTCTGTCACGCAAAATGGACAACTGGTGATCTTTGTGAGGGTGCTCTTTGTTTGGATTTGGGTTGTTAGTCTACCTTGAGCTCGTCTCCTCACTTATTACGCTGTAGTACATTCATTCAGGTTAATTTTGTTTATCAGTCTGTTTTCCCTTATCCGTAATTCAGGAGACAAGGATGCTGTTTGTTGCACAAATATTTAATTCATTTCAGGTGACGCTTCAGGCGGTGTTGTGCATGCCGCATGACTCCCAGCCGCGTTTGACGTCGAACAGTGTTTGCCTGTTAATTCGACAGCACGGCCACTAGATGGCAGCAGCGTGCTTTTGTAGTACAGAAGATGAGCCGATGGACGATGAATCTGGCACATAACGCAGAAATACTTTCGATGGTTTGTCATGTATGCATCAGTGACTTGGCAGTTCTGAATGGTGCTGGGAGTCTGTTCATTTTCTGCCACTGCTCCCAGTGTTATGGCAAGCCCCTAATGCCTATCAGAACTGTCATTTAATTTAGCCTGTTGTCACAGACAAATGGCTTGAGCCGAGTAAATAAGATGTGAAGGAAAATAAAAGGGGTTTCCTTCTCCAGGTCTCAAAGAGAGCAGCCGGATGTCACTGGCAGACTCACACCTCCTAGCTGACATCATGGACGAGGCCAGGCGGCAAGTGGGTGTGGTTTACGAGCAGGACACTCACTGACCTCTCTGCCGTTTGTCTATTCAGATCCCTCCAATATGAGCCCTGAACCAGCTGCCCCTTGCAGGTTCTCTGCTCATTAAAGGCCCATTTTCGGACTGACTTCATAGTGTATTTGTCATTTTATGGAACATGCCCAGTGGTGTGGAAATAAAAACTGGCAGCGTTGTTTTTTTTAAGCTTCCGGTGACTCGTGTTGGTTAAGCTGTGGTCCAGAGCCTGTCTGAATACAGCAGAGACAGGTCATGTCAGGACAGGGCAAGCGCACAACTATCCACGCATGGTGGAATCATTCCAGCCTCTGGCTTCCTGATACGGAGCCTTAGAACTCTGATTAAAAGGAGGAGGAGAGCGATTATCTTCACTTTGCACCCCACACACCGAAGAATTCACAACTCGTTGTCACAAGTCAGGTTCATGGACTTTTATCCTTTTACTCAGCATTTGCTCAGTCCAGGAGGGGGGGTGCTCAGCCCCCAGCAGGTTAGCCACTTTCAATGTTAAGAAATACGGTATGGGATCTGAATGATTTTTCAACGGGGCTGAAGCCCCCCCAAATAGAGTCTCGGTAAGTCAGGTAGGCTGTGGTCCATACTGATTAAACGTTTAATGGCTGAGAATGAGGAGAGCTAGAAACACCTGGCTTCCCATATTATCAATGTAAGCCAGCTGGTTGTGATTAAAGACATGGACTCTTAAGTTGTTTGCTCGTCCTTCCTGAGTACATATGGTGAATTTCCCCATTTCTCTAACAGAAGAGCCAGCTATAAGCAATTAAATCTAAATCTTTGATTCTGGGATGCCTAAGTTTAGGTTGGATACATTTTGACATTTTCTTGGACACCAGATGGCGCTCTTCTCATATACAGTATAAGTAGAATAGCGTGCAGGTGGAAGTTCAGTGAGGTTAGTTGGTGATACATGGCATTAAAGAAAAGGCATTGCAGCTATAAAGTGTGATACAGAAATTCATTATATAAATAATAGTCCAAACATAAGATTTTAGTGTGTTGTGCTGGTAACGTTGTACAGTTGGAACCTGAAGAAAGCAGATTTGAAAGGAAGACTTTTTTACTGAGTTGAAAAATAAAAAGATTGTTTGGTAATTGTCAGCGGTCAGGAAATAAACGCATAAATTATAGGTGGAAATGCTCTGTAAAGTCAGTTTTTGTTGTTCCACTTGGCTTTTCAACTTTCTCTAGATATGCAGTGTCAAGGCCCCAATCTGGCGCCCCTAAGCTGTCTTCATTTCCTGTCCAGCTGAACAGGATGTGACATCACCCATTCCTGGCCTCACATAGAATTATGAGGTTCATTGAGCCTGTTCCGCCTTGGATAAACAACTATTACACAGCTCTTCCCCCCCTATACAGTCATTTAAAAACCCATCTTGATGATAACCCACTGTCTCACCTGGAAACCTGCAGTTAGATCACAATGTCAAATGACACTAACCAGGGGTAGTCAATCTTTACCTTTAACCTTTAGCTCAGCTGTTCAAGCCCAGGTGTGAGGACTCTTCAGTCAATCAGTCCTCTAATTAGGGAGTTGTGGCAAAAAGCCAAAAACAATGGCCCTTTCTGGGTAACCCCTGTACTAAACCATTATGTGATAGCTGGTAATGGGATTTCTAGGCATGCTGAAGACCTGTCAATTACTTACATTAACTCTACTGCAGAGAAATTGTGAGTCAACCTCTTCCAAGTTGGCCTAGTGTATGACCCGTTCATAAGCAAACTCCCAATCCCCAAGGCTAAATCTTTCAATCTTTCTTTCCAGAGAAACTCAAAGGTGAATGGAAAAATGGCTGAATTTGGAGTCTAAAGCTTGACGCCCCTAAAGTTCTTTACAAAACTGCAGTATTTATGAAGAGCTACACTTGACATGATTCTTGTCATAGATTTCCTCTATAACACCTGATATACTTGGTCTTGAGAAAGCTTGACATTGTTTATTGTAACTAGACTTACTATAACAGACCACGGTCTTGAGCACGTTGGCATAAATGATCTTACCCTTGAACAAGAAAGATCAGTCTACACAGTATTTCCCCACTAATTAACACCAGTAATTGTCCAACTGTTGCCCAGGCTATTGCTCCAGTGCTCCAGCTGTACGGTCTGTAGTACTCACTGTCCACGCACTGCCAACAGCGTCGGCACGGAGCTCCACGAGGCACACGAGCTGTAGGTGGATCACCCTTTATTCCCCCTCCCCCAACACTACAAGTAACTTAAGTTTCTTACTTAAAAAGCAGAGTCAAGAATGTGTGTAAGAGACACTGCTTTGTGATTTTCATTGTACCTGGACTGAAGCCTGAATTAGATATAACAGCATCTTGGCCGTTTACATGCGTCACACATCTTAGCTCTGCAAGACCAGTAGCTGCTTTTGGACGGACGGAGAGGCTGGTGAAGGTCAGGGCCCAATCAGGCACCAGTCGCTTTAAGCTTGTGGGGGTTTTGACTTACACAAATCATGTCCTGAAGGCAGAATGAAGAATAATTGGTTGAGAGAGAACCAACCAGATTGTACAAGTGGGCCCAAGCAACTAGAGGCAGGACCGAGCCATCCTTTTGGTTGGTCTGACTTCAGACTAACATCTAACTAGATGTTAAGTAAACTCCTATGACCAGTCAATGCATGAATAAGTAACTTTTGATGTAGTCAAAATGAGGAGCTTCACTTTAATAAAGCACAAAACGTCCATCCCATTATCCCCTGGCACTCAAAACACACACACCAATCAGTGGTCATCTCTTTTATTGATGGTCCAATCAAGCAGGAGAAATGGTTACACCAGCTGTATCACCACCAGAAACAAAAATGAAGTTTTACATCCTATAATTAAAGAAGCAACAGTAGGACAGAGACTTAGTTACTGACAATCAGATTGATGGGAGACTAAGAGACACAAATGGAAACACAAAAGAAAGACTCCTCACCCCCCTGTTCAATTACCTTCCACACCTCTGCAGGGGGTGGGGGAATAGAGAGGTTGATGTAATGCCTCTCTCCATTTCAGGGATCATTTACACTCGACACCCACCCCTGCTAAGAATCTGGATCCTCATCCATTTTAAACATAAGAGCTAAAGCTAAATCGCCCAAACTGGTTAAGCATTAACATCAAATTTCATGGGGGGGGGGAAAAAATCCTATGAGTTATAACACTGAAGTATTAGATTAGCTGCCCACCATCCCAATACTGTCTGCATGGCTAAGACACCTCAGCAGAGCAGCAGAAGTGGAGGACATGGCAATACTACAACTGAATGAAAGACACATGACTGCACACAGAGAACTAGTCAAATGGAGCCATTTGCGTCGAAAAGCGACTGACTTCCAGCAAGTCAGACCTGTGGATACAAAGCTTCCTTTGGGGATGTCGGCTGTGACAGGCTGCCGTCCAGCACTTGCAAGCCTTCCAGGCACATTTCTGTGGGCAAATTCTGCTTCTAGGAGGGAGTACAGGGGTCCTGGAGACTGCAGCATTATGAGAACTCCTAAGGGAGAAGAGCTGGAGTGTAAGGAAGTGCTGTTCAGAGCAAAACTGCATTCGGGTGGGCTGGTGTGTGTTTGTGTGTGTAACCAGACGGTTGGGCTTCGTTTGCAGTGACAACCTAACTGTCGGGGGTGAAGGTAGCGTGGACAAATGATACAATAGCAGGTGGGGTCATGGGAGTTGCATGGGGATTGTCCTTCAGGTAGGAGTTTAGGGCACGAGCACGACACGCATGGTGTTGGTGTAGCCAGATCCGGGGCGCCAGCCGGTCAGAACGATGACCACGTCGCCAGTCTTGAAGAAGCCTCTGGCCTTGCCTGCGAGAAGCGGGACAGTCAGAAAGGGCACCCGGGAAGATCAAAGCTTGGCATGAACGTAGAAGAACTGGACCATGAATGTGATCAGAAGGATCAAACAACCTCACTACTTTGATGACTGTATTACACATAATCAGTTAATGGATGGTACTCAATACACCAGGTACATCACGGGGGTATGAGGTCACTGACACCACTCAAGACCACCTCCTCCTAACAGGAGCACAAGGGCTACTCCAGGCATGCTCACCCATGTCCATCGCGAAGTTAACGCGCAGGTCCACATCCTCGGCCCAGACGTCATGGGCAGGCTTGTTGTACAGCACAGGGAAGATACCACGGTACAGGTGGGCTTGTCTGGCAGTCTGGCCACTGCGGGTTACAGCGATGATCGGGGCCCGGGGTCTATATCTGGAAATGAGGTGGGCAGACCTAGGAACGGAGAGGAAAGGGGTCTTAGTCACCATTCAGAAATTCAATAAGATCAGATCAACGTTTTAATCCTTGCATCCCAGCTATCAGGATACCCTCAAATGTCTTCAGATCTCAGTCCCTGGTAAGGGATGCTTCATTATACAGGGGAACGGTCACAGGAACCAGAGCAGAACGGCCATGACCGAGGGCGATGCCAATGACACACTGAACATGGAGACAGCTGGAAGAGTTAAATATAGCTCAGAAATGCCATGGTTCAAGACTAAAAAGGTCAGGGAACATCTGACTTGAAGTGAATGTTGAAGATCTGCTGCAGAGCAAGCACCACATTCATTTCAGTGTGCAGGAGAATCACTTCATCACAGCCTTTCAGAGCATTTAGCAGCAAGCAAATGAGGCCAATTCCTGCACATGCATTGCAGTTACATTTCACTTACGTGATTGAATTTTTAAAACGACACTAGGGCTTCCTGATATGTCACGATGTACTTCCAATTAGATGTTCAATAATCACCAGGGCTTGCTTCGGGGTGACGCAATATGCCTCATTAATATTAAGAATACTCCTAAGAATTACTCTGCTGGAGTAAGTAAACACCCGTATAGTACCGAAAAGCCAGTGTCCAGACAAATGGTTACCCCCATCATCTAAAGCCCTGGTGATTATTGGACATGCGCCATAACACAATGTGATATCGTGCAGCACTAATTTACATATTGGACTGCAAGCGCAGAACTTCTACACAGCTGTGAATACAAATGCAAAGCCATGTTGAAGAGATGTAACAGTTATGCCCACAAACCTCTTCAGACACTGAAGTCTGAGTCAATAATTTTTCATGGTCAACAGCCTAATTCGTTCTAATATTTGGAACTGACCACTATGAAGAATCAGTCTGGTTTTATTGAAGTTGAAGGTTGAGAAAATATTGACTTGACTCCCTGGAGAACAGCCAGAGAGCATGTGTACAAGCAGCCTAGAACTTGTGCAGAAGTGCAGATCTCGGGTGGTGCATGTTACGGTGCATTTCTTCTCAAGTGAAGACATTTTAAAAGCCAAGCTCACTCAACGCAGGAACGAAGGCATGACAACATTACAGCCCCTCTGGAGAACATCAGCTTGTGACCAATCAGTTCTCTTCTCTTCCATTCTCACATTCACCTGCTGCTCAAAGCCCCCATCCTCCAGCTCTGATGCTAGGGGAGGGGCTGGCTGGGGGTAGTCCCACTTGTCAGCCACCCCCCCCAGCCCCCAACACGCCCCTTACCTGCCAGTCTTTGTGAGCACAATGATGGCACTGGCACAGCACTTGAAGGAGGACTCGACGGCGCCCACGGCGACGGCCTCGGAGGGGTCGCGGGTCAGGCGGGAGGAGCGCCGCAGCTCCTCGAACAGCTGCCTGTGGAACGTGGCCGCCTCCGCCTCACGGGCGATCTGAGTGGCCACGCAGTCCCGGGGGGGGTTACTCAGTCACGCCGCACACAGCCAGCACAGAGGGAGGTGGCTAATGCAAGCTGTGGCATCCATCCCCTCCAAAACATCAATTCTGGACAGTGATTACAACCCAACTCGCATGCAAATCTGGACAAATCCTCCAGAGTGCGGTTGGTTTCAATTCAGATTCTGGATAACCTCCAGATTGCTGAGTATTATGAAGGGGAAGGTGCCATTTGCCAAGCCATCTCTCTCCATGGCACTGCCTGCCTATCCCTACTGGCCTACTCTATTAACGCACGATCCTGTTCCCAGCCCTCAGATGGCTATCTTGATGCCAGCACTCCTTTGTCCCGCTCAACACCAACTTTGAGCCCAAAGCCCAGGGCTTGGGAGGGCAGACCAGAGAAGGCCAAGTCGAGTGGGCATCCCCATCCCCATCCCCCTGGTACCTTCTGACCGCATACCTTCCAGAACCTGTGAGAACAATGAACGTCGAGGCCAAGATCTTAAAGGAAGCCTCGACGGCACCGATGGCGATAGCCTCGGCCGGGTCGGTGGAGTGCGGATTGGCGCGGCGCAGCTCCTCGAACACCTGCCGGTGGAACATGGCGGCTTCCGCCTCGCGAGCGATCTGGCGTGCAGACGGAGGCGAGGCCCACGATGCAGACGGGCAGAGTGAGGAAGAGAACGGAGAGACAGGAAGAATACGCAAAGCAGATTTAGTTCATTGCAGTTAGTGAGAGAATTAAAATCATCCATCAAAACTAAGCAGGTCAAATCAAACAACTCCACTCCGTGTCTTCGCTTCAAAATAACAGCACTAAATGCTGTTTTAGTATCAAGCGAGCTGATGCTACATTAGACACCACAGCACTCTACATGACCCATAAAACAAGAACATCCAACGGTTGCTTCCTATTAGTTATGAAACCTAGTACCGATAAAGCAGAAGAGTGCAACAGAGGTGTTACGACACCCATTAAAAAGCACTAGTGAGGAAGAGACGTGGCCATATCAGGAGAGTGCAGAGTTATGTTAAGCAGGATGGCAGAAAGCATTTATGGGCAGAGAGCAAGGTTAGCGAAGGGCAGAGTTAGCGTAGCATCGAGCTATGGATCCTGGTGAGGCGTCAGGGTGGCTTGTTTTCAGTGAGGGCAGAGAGTTAGTTCCACAGGCAGGGCCCTCAGAGACTGCGCCGGCCACGCTCAGCACCCGTGGCTCAAGGCACTCACAAAACATGTCTGAGGCGTCTCGGAGGTCAGGCCCAGATAAAAAAATAAAGTGAAAATAAAAAACCACAAAAACAGCAGAGGTGAGGGTGGGGCAGTTTATTTGGCCGGCCGAAAGTGTCCTCCGACTGAAAGCAAGAAATGGCATGAAGCTGCCGTATTTTATATTTTAACAACATAACAGACTGACAACAAAAGTTTACCCAAATCCTGCCAGCTGACTGACCCTGAGCTAACAAACACCCAGACCTCCCAAGATACAAGACACTCACCATGTGCTGGGTACGGACTGCTTCCAGGGGGTAGTCACCTTTGGCGGTCTCCCCGCTGAGCATGATGCAGTCTGCACCATCCAAAACGGCGTTGGCCACGTCGCTGCCCTCGGCACGGGTAGGGCGAGGCTTCTTGATCATGCTCTCGAGCATCTGCATTACCAAGAGGACTCACTGACCACATCTCAGGCACACCGCTAGGTTTCCATTTACCTTGAAGTGACCTGGATCTGCTAGAAAGGCCATCCAGCTCCCCCGAGAGAGAGAGAAGCAGCTTCACACACCTGAGTGGCACAAGTGATGGGCTTTCCAGCTCTGTTGCAGCGGCCGATCATCATCTTCTGGGCCAGGAAGACCTTCTCCGTAGGGATCTCAATGCCCAGGTCACCACGTGCCACCATGATGCCGTCACTGGCCTCCATGATCTCATCAAACCTGTGGTGACGAAAGTGAAGCCTGCTTCAGACTCTCCACACGCAACGTTCATTAAACATCTATGGAGCGTGGAGGACCTCAAATGAGCCTGCTAGGCCATATGATATTCCGATATTCCTTCAGAGCTGCATCCCATCCAGCGAAGCCCTGACCCCTTCCCGGATGTACCTGCGGACCCCTTCGTGGTTCTCCAGCTTGCTGATGATCTTGATGTTCTTGCCCTTCTCGCCCAGCACCTCACGGACGGCGTGCACGTCGGCGGCCTTCCGGATGAAGGAGGCAAACACCATGTCGACGCCCTGCTCCACGCCAAACTGCAGGTCCTTGATGTCCTTCTCCGACACAGCGGGCAGGTCCACGGCCGTTCCTGGAAGGTTCACGCCCTTTTTGCTGCCCAGGGTGCCACCGTTCTCGATGACACAGTCCAGGTAGTTAGCCCCTAGCATGGGGAGGGCAGAGGGCATCTGTCACGCCACACTTCAGTCATGAGATTCATATTAACTCATGCATGACACCATCATAAGACAATCTGGTGAGCAATTCACTTATATTGAAGGGGGGGGGGGGGTTGCTACACTTCTATTTCACTACTCCCAAGAGTAGCAGCCAAAGGTCAATAATCTGACAAGACCAGGGCTCACCAATCTCTTGAACCTGGAGTGAAATCAGTCCATCATCAATGTAGACCTTGCTTCCAACTTCCACCACTTTGATGATGTTCTTGTAGTCCAGCCACAGAATTTTGTCGTCGCAGTTCTCCATGTAGGAGTCATCTAGGGTCAGCCTGATACTGTTTCCTTTCACTAGCTCCACCTCAGCAGTGCCACTCTGAGTGGGGCGAGAGAGCAGAGATGTCAAATGAGATCCAGGAACATCTAACAACTTGCATGAACAGCGAGCAGATCATACAACATGTTAACAATGCTGACGTCCGAGTATTTGCATGGTCAACTCACGCCCTTGATGAGTCCCGTCCTGATCTCGGGGCCCTTGGTGTCCAGGGCAATGCCGATGGGCCGGAAGTGAATGCTGCCAGGTTCAAAACTCGCCTCGGCCTCACGAACGTTCTTGATGGTGTCACCATGGTACTGTGAAAAGGATCAAAGGAAGACTTAATGTGGTGCATGGGTAAGAGGAAGAGGATTCAGTCATAAACAGTTGGGTTAAAACAACCTGTACTGAACTGTGCGAGTCTAGTCGACGGCCCAGCCAAAACTAATCTTTGGCACCAGAAACGGCAAAGCTTAGCCAAATAAAACACAGTAATGGGGGGATGGGGGGGAGAGAAATCAAAGGGTAAAACCAAAAAGGCTCAGAAACCCACAGGGAGCCTAATGAGGTGATAAACATTATGTCCCATAATTAAAACAAGAATGAACTAAGGTTGCCAGCTGAGTCACTGAACTCCCACAAATGGTGGGCAGAGAAGATCAGAGCTGGATCACACCTTCCTGGTCTATGACAGTCAAACCTATAATCTTCCAGGGGACCATCTGTTATGGACTGGCCCAGCAGAGGCAGGCAAAGAGGGACACATAAATAGCTCTGAACAAGCAGAGAACTTCTAGCAAGATTAACAGAATATTCAAATCCTGCTCCATTCGGAAGACAACCTAAGTTAGACCAAATGAATGCTGGAACCATAAGTAGGTTCACAGGCAGAATGCTTCGGATTGACACAGGTCTGATTGTTTGCTTTCCATGGTGTGAGAGAAAAATGTTTCTATGCCACAAAATTTCCCATATCAGGGAGAAGTTACAGGCACTTGCTAGTCTGAGGAAACTGCAAGGCTTCCTGAACTGTGTGCTTCTGATTTAGAACAGAGTTTAGTTTCACCTAATGAGATATCATTACAGATACCTATAAATAAATCAGATGTTCCTTTCGTGCACAGGACAGGGTGAAGGGCGGTGACGTGTAAGGAGAAGCCGATACAAGGGAACACAGGCTAAAGATAAGCCACAGGAAGCTGGCCAATAGCTTCACTGGGTCACTTACAAAGTCTGATCAGCAATGCTACCTCATGGTCTGTCCCATAGGATGTTCTGCTACCATTGTGCTACTCAAAATAGCTACTCTAGAACTGTTAAGTCAGTTTAATTCCTTGGGAAAAGCTACATTTTTCCTTAATGCACGAGGAGAAAAAAAAAAAACGTTGAACAACAGACATAGGCTAGAAAATTCCTACCCTCTGAAACACTATTTATAGCTACACAAAGTACTAAGATGAGGTTTCCTCTCACTGTATGGACAACCATATTCCATTCCCATATTCCATTCTCAGCTGGTGTTACCGTAATCAGGCTAGGTAACAGCACAATTTACTCATCCTGCCCCAAACATGAACTATCCTAAATTTGGGTAAACTATCAAGACCATTAATTATGAGAATTTACTGGTTGAAACTGACTGGGTGTCCAGTTTATCCAAACATACTATTTTATTTACTGTATTCAATTATGACAACCACTCATCAGAATTTTCATCCTCCCATAAAATATGGCATTAAAAAAAAAAACCATTCCAATAAAACCACTCAGTTATCACATTCATAAAATACAAAAAATGAATGCTGTGTTTCAAGATAAAGTGAAATACATTTAATCAATCCCATCCAGCTTATCACAATTACCTGCCATACAACTGAAACACTCATTGTATTTCAGGAAAGATGTGTGGGTGTCTGTCTGACTGGGGGGGGGATGGGATTAGGATAATGCAGCTTTAAAAGGGGCTTGAGAGTGACATGACAGCATATGGTCAAAAGCATGAAATATCAAACAGCTGATCAAGAAGCACACCATGGCGTTGTTAATCACCCCCACCTGCACAGATAAGGTAAAAAGGCCTCTTAAAGGGGAAAGTTCAAAAGGTCAAGCCCCCAGGCTGTAATACAGACTGCAGAAGCAGGTCAGAAAAGGCCATGGGGGCAGATTGTTTTTCACACACGCCGACCCTTCAAATGTCACAATGAGGGGACAGCAAAATGGTAGATAGGGATGCGAGGAGGGAGGGGTGGGTGTTCATACCCACCTCGTGAGAGCCGTGAGAGAAGTTCAGACGAGCAATGTTCATGCCAGACTTGATCATCTCCTTCAGCATTTCAACAGAGCGAGAGACCGGACCTAGGAGGGGGAAGGAAAGGCAAGTTCAAATAAAAACTGCCCAAGAGGCCAGTGAATTAGCTTGGCACACAGTGGGCCATTGCCGTAGCTTAGTGCTAAAGAAAGCAGGAAGAGGGAACATGCAGGTCAGTAGGAACAGCAGGAAACGGCTGAGGAAAGGGAAGCCAGCTGACCGATGGTGCAGATGATGCCAGTGTTGCGGGCTGTTGTGGGCTCCGAATCTATGTCCAACAGGCATAGATGGTCCAAAAAGGTGTCTGCCATGGCAGCGTTCAGCTGCTGCGTCTGGATGAAGGCTGAACCCAAATCTTGGGGCTTTGACATGATTGGAGTGCTGTTGGTTGGGGAGGTCCTGGGGAGGAGAACAGAACCTCCAAGTTGGACTAGACATAACAAAGCTCCAAAAGACAGGAGTACACACAAACCAGAAGAACACAACATGCAGCATCTAAATCCTGCACTGAAGATCATTAAGAGACAGTGGCCATCTCAGAGCATACAGACAGACCACCAGAATTGTGACCATTAAGAAATTTTGCCAGATGACACAACTTAGGACGGACAAAAGCATGGAATGTCGCAAAGCTCTTGCTTGCGGTAGCAACAAAACGTACAACACGCGATACAGCATGCTTTGGTTCAAATGGTTGATAAGTCTATGTACTGAAGACATAACAGATTACAAATAAGTGATAAAACCATGCTTACAAGCATAACCACACATGTATAGAGGGGAAAAAGATGGGTGCATTTAAATGATTATTGCAAAAGCAGACAACACTGCTAGATACATATCTACGGTATGCCAAATCTCTCTTGGAGAAGTCTTACCACATAACAGGTCAAACAGAACATTCGTGCCGTAACGCTTACATGTTACTGAAAAGTATACACATGTCTGTACTGTCACTGCACCCATTCCCCAGGGAGTCACCCATTTCCTTTGCAGTGCAGAGCCAGATCATGACAAAGACACCTAAAGCTCTTGGAGAGCAACCTCTCCTCTAAAACTATCAGCTAATTCACCTGGGGGCTGAACATGCTGCAAGACAATTATCTAGAGGAAAAAAATAATCTGATCCTGGAAAACCAGAAAGATAATTAAGCCAATGTGCTCAGTGATGCAGCGAGGGGTCTCTGGCCTTAGAGAACGCTGCAGGATGGTTAAACCAAACTGTAAAATCAGTTCCTATACCCAGGAAAGAAACTGGGACAGTTATTGTGGAGGAATTTCAACCGCGGTTCAAGTTTCCTGTTACAAGAGTAACTGAACTTACCCTACAAGGTGAATTAAAGATTTCACTACAACTTTAAAACTTCACAAAATGTTGCAACTGAAGTTAAATGTGTGCAACAATTTCCAACATCCCCTTTTCCTCTATATTTGGCATTATATAAAGAAGTTGCCTGCATACAGTTACACTCTTTTTTGCCATTCAGGTAGTCATAAGGTCTACCAAGATACAAATTAGCTTTTGAGAACCACAATGGAATAGTATATGTAGCACTGTCATAAATTATGTAAAAGAAGCCTAGTAATGTGTAACTCCTAATGAAGTAGCTGCAGAATCAGAAGCCTTATTGGAATTGTTCAGAGTCCATATCAGCATCCATGACCTTTTAGTGCAGTTTGGCTCAACATCAGAACAGAATGTAAATAAAACCTAACTTGAATTCACTCATTGAGAAATAGTAGTGCAACAGACGTGCCTATGTTGTAAAAGGGAAGCAGAACTATGAGAAAGCCTTCACTTAGGTATGAGACACACCCTTAGAGCAAAGAAAAGGATCCTTTCACTGTTTAAACAGGCTCTGACACAGACATGAATGGACGATATCGGGGCAAGGATCAGAGGCAATGATACCGCTAGTTGACCAAGAGTGGAAGGAACCCCTTTGTCAGATGAGACATTATTTCACCACAGGATTAGAAGAACTCTAAAACCAATCACTGAAAAACTTGCCACATGTTTCCAACCCCATTCACACTACTTGTTTATTTTTTGACCCTGACTGGTAGCAAATAACTCGATAGTCCTTGACACAATAATGCAGATTCACTAAAAGTACAAGTCTATTATATTAGTTTAGCAACAAGTAAATGTGACATTTTTAAAGGACAAAGGAAGGTAATGGTGGCACCTAAGCATATTGATGCCCAAAAGCAACGCAGATGGGAGACACAAAACCGCCCCAGGGTTTGTGGGAACTCCACCTTGATGTGTAATTCAGAATGTGTTTGTGTGCTGGCAGCTTACAATTTCCATAAACTTGAGGTTCTGTTTTGCAGTCATAGTGAAAAAAGTCAAAGAGACCAGTCAGGCACAAGCGGAGTCTCTAAAGGCCTTTTTGGAAACAGGGGACAGCCCAGTGCAGTACGTGTAGAGCCTCACATTCTCTTGAACGTGGCTGGTGGGGGGGCAAGCTGGGTAGGCGGAAGCTGAAGGGGGCGGATTTCTGCCAGTGAAGGCTATACACATCACTTCCTCTTTAATCCACACTTGCATCGCATCACATCGTCCCAGCTTTGATGTTCCTGCCAGTATACTACATGTCAGGACCCAACAAAATGAACCAAACCGCATTTTATGTAATTTTGCCCAATTACAATTTATGAATGATTAAAAGCTTGTATTAACATTTTAAGTCTATTTTTAAACTGCAGATATATTGAACGCAATGGCAGACACACACACACACACACACACACATATATATATAAAAAATGGATACAGCGTAAAACAATTAATTAATTTTCTTAAATTAATTAGCATGCCTACCCAAAAAAATACAGCCCCAAAACATTTATCTGCAAGTTTTTATTTGAAACCGTTGTAAGGGGTTTTCACTGAAGTACTAAAAAGCCATACGGGCAGTTATCTATGTAAACAATCAACTGTACAGCATGACCTGGACAAGCAGGCTAACCTTAAATTCTGAAGGCCATAGCATTGTATTTCTGGCATGAACAGATGGTCTTCTTCCAGTCAGGCAACCAGCTAACCACATAAATGAGTTTGCAAGCATAACACTGATTCGTCAGAGAATGACAGGCATGTAATACCACTTCGACTGCCATACATTTGTGTTAAAGGGATGAAACATTCCCCAAAGGATCCCCGCAGAATGCTCTCAAGGTCATACGCAGTGTGACATGCCTCCCCTTTAAATATCAACCACACTCTTGACATACATGCAGTGTCCCCATATATAGTTAGTGCTGGAAGAGCAATTAATCCTAGGAATCGTATCTGGCAGCAGCTCCACTCGCTTCAGTCACTTTTACTCTACTACAGCTTTAGCAAAACACTACACCACTATTTGGTGCCGACACGACCAGGACAAGGCGACACAGGACGTCGTAATCATCGCCATGACCTCAGCCTCATCGGTAACTGGGCAGTCCACATGATGCCTACGTTTCTCAAACCGCCTGGCTACATACCTCACGGAGCTTTGGCTCCAGCCGCCATGGAAATATGAGGATCTTAATGAAGGCTTAGACGGTCCTATGATAGGGGCTGACAGAAAAGGAGCACCAGACACCCACAGCATACGGGTGGCCAGGAAGAGCCCTGGGGTAAACCCTAGGGTCTTCATTATGCTACAGGACTCATGTCCCAAGTACACTATGCTGACCCCTGCAGGGGACCCAGGCCAGAGACTCTGGTTACACATGTGGTTTGGTCTGGGGGGGGGGGGGGAAGAGACCAGTAGATGTCAGTACTTAAACAGAGCACTCAAAACCTTTCAATAACGTTGCCCGTCTATTTAAAGCAGGGCTTTCTAATGGAATAGCCTGCATCAGAAATGACTACGAAGCACTGCTACGCATTGAAGCTCTCAGAATGAAGCACAGATTAAATAGGCAGGATCAGGGGAGCCTGTACAGTCAGATCGTTTCCTGCCACCACAGATGCAGTCACACATAATCCAGCGCGCACACAGACACGCGCAATTCTCAGCTTCCCTGAAATCACATTTGGTGATTAATGCTGGCTGCTAAAGACTGGTGAGGATGCACGTACACCACATGCAGTGAGTAAAGTGGGTCCATTGAGTCACCTTGAGGGGCAATACCAAACGACTTACTGCTGTCAGGAAGTGTGCATGCCAGAAACAGACATCCCTGAATGACTACTTCAAGGCCAAACTCAAGCCTCTTTGTGCATCATACTAGAACTTCACAGTGGAAAAAAACTGAACACATTCATTTTGCCAGTCAGAAGACTGGTTTTTCCCTTTCCAACCTGGCAATTCAACGAATCATACCCCCACCCACATGACAAGAACTTGAGCCAGCAAGAAAACCACATCGCAACTCCTGGATAATGTCATAACCACAATTGTAGGTTTGTTAAAACATTTACTTGATTGCAGACACTAGCTCCACTGATTAGGTTTTATGAAATATCTTGGATTTAGCTTAGTCAATTAAATATAGCTGAAACTCAACTTTTTAAGAAATGTGATTTTGAACATCCACCGACGAAAATGTTAGGGCTCTCACCCCCGACTTTCTACGTATTTTTTTTTATTTCTATGCGGCTTTGATTTAGGTGCCTACAAGTATGAATTATTTCAGCAGAACACGTGGTACTCTGTAACGTTATGACTCCGCAGAACTCCGGAGGGGGAGGGATGCTCAGTCAGACGATGAGGTGACGGACAGCGCTTCAGCCAATGGCGAGCCGGAGAACAGGGGGAAAAAAAAACCAGGAAAGGCAGCGAGAAACAGACTCAGCACCATCCCAGAAACATTGTTGATTTTGTAAAATACCCATGAAATGAGCAGCAACACGCATGCAATAGAACAATTACGTGAATTGCAGGAGGCAGCATAGGGAAATGAAACCCTTCTTTTGCCTGATTTAATCATGAGCGTCGTGGCGAAACTACTTAAGATGCCACATTAAAGGCAGACAGAAAAACCCAGCGCTCTGGCTATCGAGTGTAAAGCGAACCGTAGAGGCGCAGGGAGACAGATGACATGCCGGCAAGGTCAATGACCATATTTAATAATTTATACCTCTGCGCAACGCAGACAGCGCAGGACGGTATCTCGTGCCCCCACTAGTACCGTTCATACGAAAACCCCAATAAAAACGACAAAGTAGCATGTATTTATCATCCCGGCACGTAAGTAACGGTAAGAGACAAGAATGCGGTAGGCAGCTTTAGTGCTGCCCGGGGGCCGATGCGCCGCCGGTCACGTTAGCATGTCTGCGTCACATTTTCCCCCCCGAACCGGAGAGCGGCCAAGGGAAGGGAGGGGGAGCGCTGCCTAACGGATGGCGATGCCCGGCCAACCGCAACATCTTCCAGTGGGGAAAAGCAGCACAGAGACGAGACCCCAAAAACACACCAGCCTGCAATTAAACTGACAGAAACTCAGCCAGTGCTAGATACGCCTCACGCTGACATTCCTGCGTTTTTAGCTAGTCGCTTTTCGCCAAGCCGGAAGGCTGCTTCCTCATTGACGTACACGGATTTATTACCTAGTCAGAAACGTATGGTCCACAACATTCTGGTTACACGACAACATACAAGGTAGTATCTTAAACGGCTCGGGCAATTTTTAATGACCTACGAGCATATGGTGAACAGATTAATGACAGTTTTATATAAAAACGCCACCAGCTTAAATAGTTAGGATAACTTGACCGCCTAGAAAATTAATGCGTTACGGGGTGTATTCTCCATGAGAAGCCCCTTCGGTCATATTACCTACTAAGCTGCAGACTATCTGAACCACCTGTACAAGGCAGTCGTCATCTTATACTTTAAATAGTATACTGTTAACCCAAACTGCACGCGTTACCCCGCAACTAATGCAGCATGACAGCTAACTAAGAAGGAAAATAATAATGCTAAAACTCGTACTTCGAGGGTTTTATTCGGGTACTCAGAGGCACCTTTCACTGGACGCAAACTCACCAGAACAGGATGAACGACTTCGCAAACTGACGCGCTACAGTCCAGGCCACCGGCTCAAGGTGAACCCTTTCATTTGCCGGTACTACTTATTGTGTATTCTGTATCTCTCCGACTCGAAAAATAGTTCGCAATATAACATGCCCGCGTTCAAGTCACATTTTCAAAATATAATTTCTAAATATCCTCTTTAAGTCACATATATTTTAATTGATTGAAACGTTTTTTTAAATAATGATTTAAGGAAATATGACATTACAAACCCTCAATGGCGGAAGATTACATTGCAGGATGTATAAGGCGCTTTGATCTCATTATCGACCAATCACAAATCTCGCCTGTAGCACATGGCATGCGACTAGCATGTGATAGAAGGATATATTCAGTATGTTACTTTCGTATATGTAATGCTGGGTTGAGTCATGCGTTTTTACGTAAATAGCCAGAGAATGTGTTGAATACGACATAATAATCCACGTGAAAGTAAGGATTGTGTCAGTTCATAATTTTAAAATAAATCTAAACGACTCGGTGGATTACAAAAATCTCATCTCCACTAGTCGTTACGTTTCTCTAACGTAGAGATGCACGAATACCCTGTCGCGAGACGAATACATGACTCATAGGCTTTCATGGACGTTTGTATGTGATTCACAGATAATGCAATGGAGAACAGATTATGCTATATTATACAGATTTCATATTTTAAAAATTCGTATTCGGTGTGTACTAATAGTATTTGGAATTAAAGGACTTGGACAAGTAATGAAACCGAGAAAGTTTATCTGAATTTAATGGAATCAAAGTTCCGACTACAGGTGTGTCCCAGCAGAAGAACATAACTGGTTTGTACGTTCATTTATAATGCATCATATGTTCAAACATGAAATGCTTAACAGGCATATGGGGATGCTGGGGCTGCCTGATCGCCCGCCCGTTTTGCCGCACTATTTAATGTGTTCATGTGCGAGCATTAAAGGTTCCTGGAGCCTGAAAACTTATCTGCGCAGCACTCATGTTTAACATTAATTTTAAATACGATTTGTCATTACGATTCAGATCTGTCAACTGTATTGGATTAAACAATTGAGGATTTTATATTATTCTAATATGCCATGACTGAACAAAAAGCTCATGTAGCTATTGTTCATTAACCATATACATTGACATTACCTCTTATTTGCTATGGACATCCTTTTATTTAAACATATATCTTTATGTCAGTTATCTAACATTCGGTTCCTCATTCAGTTTATACTGCACATGCTTTTGGGGGAGGGGCAGCGGAAGCCTGTCCCATGTAAGATAGGGCAGAAGGCTGGGGGACCCCCCCTAGAGAGGATACCACACATACAGGTGTGCACAATGGACAAATTTAGAAATACCAGCATGTCAGTCTTTGGACTGCGAGAGGAAATGCACACAACACAGGGAGACCATACAAACTCCACACATAGACACAGTGGGAGTGCAACCTAAAAATAAAATGACTGTATAGGACTGTATAGGACGTAGCTAGAAATTCTGAGCCCCCTGAAAAAAATGTCACCTTACTCCACCCCCCACTAGGGTTGCCACTTTCAAACACCATGACCCCCCCGATGTTAAATATTTTTAAGCTGGGGCGGTGTTTACACAGTGTCTTTGTTTTGAAAGACCGATCAGATGACAACTCAGCCCCCCCCACCCAATTTTTATAATTCAATGTATTCAAGGGACCCTATCAAGTGTTGGGCCTCTCAATCTGCTGTCAGGGTGTCCATGCCCCTCCGATACCACCGAGCCAGCTCATTACTATAATTCATGCCATAAAGTCATGTGTTATATATCAATCACAATCCCTTGTTGAAGAATGTTGAATTCAAAAATGTTGAAATCTGTCTAATATCGCCTAGATGGTTTAGGTCATTTGTTGCTAAAGGATGACCTCAGTGTGTCACTGTTTTGTAAACCTCAAGAATGGGATGTGCAAGGATGTTTATATTGCTTTGGACAGGGCCAGATTTAGGGGGGTGGGGGCCTCTGGGCTCAAGCCATTTTTGGGGCCCTACTTACAGCATAAAATGCTGGTGTAACAACCAGAAGAAAAAAAACGGAGACCCCTACAACAGGTTAGGCCACGCAAAATCCGCCAATCCTATAGTGAACCATTTATTTGCTTGACTTCTTTCCGCAAAATAAGTTTAATTCTATTTACTTTTATCTGAACTCCCTAATATAGTTCCCCAAAAGTATTTCACAATAGTTTTAAGATCATGATTTACAGGAGGTGAGATGGCAATAGAATAGTTTCAGCTATCTGTCGTCCATCCATCTGCCATCTTCTATGCTGCTTATCCACTGGACAGAGCAAGGGAACACTCTGGAGCAGGGAGGGACAGGGATTAACAATGGGACCTGGCCTTTGGAGTTCGCCACAGGGTGTTGGGGGGGGGGGGGGTGCCTGAGCACCTGCCCATATTGCCCAAACTATTTAATATTATCATAATATGATCACTGAGCACCTGCACCTTAAAACATCTCTGCATGGCCCTGTAACAGGCGTGGCTTGTTAGGGTCATGACAGGGAGTGGACAGGCAGGGATATAGTAGCACCCCCCACCTCGAGGCACACAATCCAGGCACTGAGGGACCAAGACATCAGACAGCATGTCAACAGGGCCGGAACATGATACACACCAGGGCTAGGACAAAGGAACTAAATACCAGGGTAGACACACAAGGCCAGAGTACATGAGATGGACAGAATCAGAAACATGCAACAAGACATGTCATAACTAGAGGCATGGAACAGAGAGACAAGACCAGTGACAGTAAAGAGAACATCCAACAAGACAAATACCAGGACAGGGCGGATAAATTGAGGAGCAGCAAAGACCGGAACAGAAACATAGGAGCGGACCACGGAGAACACAGGCTAGGGCATGACTGGAGGAATGGGGAATGTGTGGAGAATCTCCCAGCTCTTGGAGAACTGGGTGGAGAACATGGGACATGGGTCCTCCTGGACCTGCTTCCTGGCAAGGCGGAGTGTTCGCAGACCGCAGAGCCTAAAGGACCTCGGAGAGCCAGCTGGGCTGCAGGCTGCCAAGGGACCCACAGAGTTGCAGGATGCTAAGGCAACTGCGGGGCATGAGCGGGAGGGCAGTGAGCGGACAGCGGCGGGAGGGCGCCATGGTTCCTCTCCTCTGGGACTCCGTTGGGCAAATGAGAATTGGGGCGGCTGGCACAGACAGTGTGCCCCCATTTCCCCCTCTGGGAGACCTCTTCTGGTCCTCAAACAACACCGCTGACTGCACCGGAACTTAAAATTAGGTCGATGTGGACTTTGGGCTGAGGAGAGGACCCATGGATCAGGACTCAGAATGGGAACTTTTGGACCTCACCCTAAGTCCTCCAGATCACTGGTTTGGTAGTGACTGGGGAGTCGGGCATCAGACTGGCAGCAGCCTGCAGAGGATGAGGAAGGGGGAGGCTACAAGGAGGCCACCAAAGCAATGACAAGACACAGCTCTGGAACTGACAGGACACCAGGAGATGCGGGAGGAGCCGATGGAACACCAGGAAACGGAGCAGGAAAAGAGCAGGCCGAAGCCGGGACACCTGGTGGTGAGTGAGGTGAAACTGGGACACCTGGAGGAATGGCACATCAGCTGTGAGACTGGACAATGTGACCCATCTAGGGCCAAGAGATGAGTATTCCAGTGGAGCGGCCCTCTCTGGGCCGGTAGCCTGCAGTGCAGGCCCTGGGGATAAACCAGAGGTGAGGATGGGCAGAGCAGGCCCCTGTGGGTCAGGCTCAGGAGGCTCGGTGTGGTGGCAGTTTCCCCAGGGCAGGGCTCTGGAGGCACCAGGTCAGGCAAGGCATCCATGAGCATAACCAGCTTCCTCAGTTTCTTCATCCTGTGGCTGGAGACAGTGGTCAGAGCCGACACTAACTGTGGGGAGCCTGCGGGTGGAGCTACGGCGAGCTGCAAGGAGCTGGCAGATGGAGCTTCTTCATGCTGTGGAGAGGCACTGAGCAGAGCAGCTCCCTGACCAGTCAGCCGAGCATGGAGAGCTGCAGCGGAGAGCTGCAGCAAGCCAGCGGTCGGAGTTCCACCCTGCTGCAGGATGCTGTGGAGAGATGGCGAGCTGAGCCAGAAAAGGTTAAACTCAACCACCTGCCACGGTGCCTTCATCAGGTGCTGGACTGTCTCCGCCTCCTGGGGATCTGCATCTGGGTTGAATCCGGGTAGCACCCTCTCCGTGCACAAGAACAGGGTTCTGACTCAGGGATTGCGCCTCCACACCAGGCATTTGCCCAGGAGAGCAAAGAAGTCCTCGGTTTGTAGGGGTGGTGGCGCAGGAGGATCCCACGGCTCTGGTGACCTCGCTGGTCTCAAGATCCAGGGAACATGGAGAATCTGGTTTACGGGATGCAGGAAGGCCTGAAAGCCAGGACTGCGGTAACAGCCTTGGAAGTTCCTTGACAGTCCAGTCATTCTATCATGACGAGGGATCAAAAATGGGATGAAGGGAACAAGGAAGGTTTGGCGTTAATGGCTGGACTGGGGATGGTGAGACAAGCAGGTACTTAAGCACAAAAGACTAACGAGGGGCTAAAGAGAGGCAGCTGGGAGTGATTTCCGGATGAGAGCTTGGAACAAGAGGCAAGATGAGAGGGTTAAATGAGTAACAGGTGTGGCTTGTTAGGACCATGACAGGGAGGAGACGGGCACACATGACAATTTGCTAGGCACAGCCTCTTATTTATACTTGCATCTTTATGGGAGTTACCTTTTTCATGGGGTCCCAATGATAACTTTTGCCAAGCAATAAATTTGTGGAGGCCTGTATACCCATTGGCCTTGGATGGGATGCCAGGACACACATTGAAGCTTCTTGACTATAAAGAATGGAAATATGACATCAATATCTCATGTTTGTTACATATCTCACAACATTCCTCTCGGAACTACTTCCCTAGAAGACACATTTGCTGAAGCATGATAGCTATTTATCATGAAAAGAGTCCTGCAGAGACTGGAGTGTATCTCAGGAAGCGCAGGGTACGAGGCAGGGGAAGATTCTAGGCAGG